CAGGGATGTCTTGCAGGAAGTGAGCCTTGCCAGCTGAAGCAGGGAACTGGCTAAGGCAGCTGCACCCTGGTCCGACCATCAGAGAGCAAGAGATCCGAGAACTAGAAAAGCAAAGCTCACCCGAGCCATTCATCCCTCCGCCCTTCAATTAACCCCACATGTGTTTATCAACACTTGTTGACTTATCCTCAACTGTCAACTCTTGCCTGAGTTCATTGTTGATATTAAAAAACGGCGAGGGGAGCTTTGACGTAGAAATCCAAACCATCAACTTCTCATAAGTGGTCACTCAGCAGTCCCACTCGGTGGTAACCTGCTGGGGTTGCATAGCAACACTTGCACTGTTTGCTACAGACCCCACTAGTCCCTATTGTCTTGTCCCCTAACCACCTCCTTATCCCTTTTAATCTTCTTATCTGGTCCTTTAGAGCCTGAAAAGGGGTTAGGGAAATGGTTTTAGTCAGCCAGGGGGTAGAGGGAATGGTGACTTGACCCCTTGATAGCTGTCCTCACAGGCAGAAACTGTGTGTGTGTGTGTGTGTGTGTGTGTGTGTGTGTGTGTACTCACATAGCCCTGGTCAAGGTACCTGGTATGAAGCAGGTATTGGTTAATACTAATTCCCTTTTGAGAGCTGAAGGAACCTCGGTGGTGTATTGGTTATACATGGGCTTCTAACCACAAGGTCAGCAGTTCAAAGCCACCAGCTGCTCCACAGAAGAAAGCTGAGGCTGTCAAGTCCCATAAAGAGTTACAGTCTCAGAGACCCAGAGGGGCAGTTCTACTCTGTCCTATAGCCATTCAACTGTGTGGATCCTAACCAACCATGGATCACCCTGAAAAGAATGGGAATTCCAGAACACTTGGTTGTGCTTATGAGGAACTTCTACATGAATCGAGAGGCAGTTGCGCAAACAGACAAGGGAATATTGCATGGTGTGAAATCAGGATCAATACAAATATTATTCAAGAAATAAAAGAATAAAATGATATGTATACATAGAATATTTTTGAAATCAAATTCCCTAAAAAATCAAATAAAATTCTGTATTTAGGAAGAAAATAAGTTTTTTTAATCAGGAAAGGTGTACCTCAGGGTTGTTATCCTCTCACCATACTTATTTAATCTGTATGCTGAACGAGTCATCAGAGAAGCTGGATTATATGAAGAAGAATTCGGCATCAGATTGGAGGAAGGCTTATTAACAACCTGAGATAGGCAGATGACACGGCTTTGCTTGCTGAAAGTGAGGAGGATTTGAGACCCTTGCTGATAAACATCAAGGATTGCATGCACCCTTCAGTAGGGACCATAACTCAATGTAAAGAAGACCAAGATCCTCGCAACTGGACCAAGAGGCCACATCATGATAAATGGAGAAGAAGCTGAAGTTGTCAAGGATTTCGTCTTGTCTGGGTCCACAATCACCATGTCATGGAGGCAGCAGTCAAGAGATCAAAAGACGCTTTGTATTAGGTGAACCTGCTGCACGAGACTGTAGAGACTCAAAAGGCAAGGATGTTACGTTGAGGACTAAAGCAAGCCTGACCCTAACCATGGTCCAACCACGGTGCTTTCAATGGCCTCCTGTGCGTGTGGAAGTTGAAGAATCAATGCATTTGAATTGTGGTGCTGGGGAAGACTATCGAGAGTCCCTGGACTGCTAGAAGGACAAACCAATCTGTCTTGGAGGAGGGACGGCCAGAGTGCTCCTTAGAGGCAAGGATGGCAAGACTTCATCTTCCGTACATGGGCATGCCAGGGGGACCAGTTCCTGGAGAAGGACATCGTGCTCGGGAAAGCGCAGGGGCAGCGAAAAGGAGGACTGCCCTCAAGGAGATGCATTGACAGGACTGTCAGGCTGGCACGGGGCGGGCAGGGTTTAGGTCTGTGGTGCGTAAGGCAGCTCCTATGGATGGCAGCCATCGCCCATGGCCCCTAGCAACAGCGGGTCGCTATGAGTGGAGCTAACTCGGCGGCGATGGGTTTAGTGTTAGGATATTTTAGAGTTGAGTATCTTAGGAGGTGGGGGATGCTTGAAACGGTAGGAGAGTGGTCCCCCTCTCCCTCATCTGCGCTGGGCAGAGAACTGAACCAGTTGCTCTCAAGGGAGGGAGCCTTCCCCTGAAGCTGTGCCTGCGGTGCAGGGTGCCATTACCACTACCTACCACTGGAGGGCAGGCTGGCCCGTTGGCAATCCTGAGCTAACTCTCCTGGGCCCAGCCAGAAAGAAGTTA